CGTACCTGCTAATTCCAGGTCTTTCTGAAGCTCTCCACAAGTGGTCCTTGGCTCTTMGACAACTCTTCTGATAATTCTTTTCACTCCTCTGTCTGAAATCTTGTGAGGAGCAGCTGTTCATGGTCAGTTTATGGAGAAATGATGTTCTTTCCACTTCCGAATTATGGCCCCAACAGTGCTCACTGGAACATTCAGAAGTTTAGAAATTCTTCTGTAACCAATGCCATCATTATGCTTTGCAACAATAAGGTTGCGAAGGTCTTGAGAGAGCTCTTTACTTTTACCCATCATCAGATGGTTCTTGTGTGATGCCTGGCCATCATTTGGGACTAAACCAGCTGATATTAACTTGTACTGACAAGGGGCAGGCTTGCTTTCTAGTTACTGTGATGCGTTCAATACTTTTCCCTTGTGTCATTCCACATTATTACAAATAACTTCATTTCTGGACGTGTATGGTTTGATTTCTTTGTATGTATGGATCACTTGGGTTGTTACTGACATCTTAATTTCATGTCATCAGCACCTCTAGTAATATATTTACTGAGAAAAATGGTGACATGTTCAATACTTATTTTACCCGCTGTATTCAAAATAAACAGAAATCAGTCCTTTCTTTGGTTTACTGCGTTTGTGCAAACAGAAAAATAGCAGCCTAATAAAACAGTTTCAATAACTTGGTTGCTATATCTTCTAAATAAACAAATCAGTCCTTTCTTTGGTTAATTGCAATTGTGCAAACTGAAAAATAGCAGCCTAATAAAACAATAGCTTCACTAGCTAGCTTGGTAAAACAAACAAAAAATAAATAAAAAAATCAGTCCCGAAAAACTAGACAAATCTAGATCTTTCCCAACACATACCACTCAGTGTCAGTAACATGATCAAGCAAATTTCTCAAGCTTCTCAAGCTCCGGCTTAAGCATCAATGGAAGGTTTTTGTTTAAGAATGCAAGCATTTCTGCTCTCTCTCGACTGTGAGTCTGTTTCGCTTCTCGTCCAAGCTGGTGGAAACAGTGCTGAGTTCACTTTCGACGCTAATGCAGGGCGCACAGATACTTAAAGGCAGCAGCAGCAAGGCCAGGAAACCGCTGACGGTTGACTCCCCAGTATTTGTYTGGGTCATTTGTGGCAGAAACTGTTTCCTCTGTAAAATATCCATGCAACTGTATAGCAGTGCTAGAGCTATTTCCTGCACCTGGATCTTCCTCATGCTCCCCCCTTATTTTGTCAAATTCTTTAATGAAGCTGCTACTACCTTTGTTGCTGCTTTGAGCTGCTGCTGCTTCCACTCGGGGGGCCTTCCCTGGTGGCTCCAAAGCCTTGGATGCTCCATCAGTGTTGGTCCTCAAGTCTTCCTCCAGCTCCTTAGCTAGTGCATCTTTCCCCCGCTTGGCAGAGTCTGCACTGGTGAAAAATCTGAAAAGATAAAATACATAGGGTTCAGTTTTAGACTCAACAAATAAATATTGAAACAAAAAAGTCAGATGTGCACTTATCTTTAAAATTTCAAGAATAAGTGTATCTAGGGGCAGATATACAATTTCTTTCAGTCTTTCTACGCGTTTTTTAATTCACTTTTACTTAGTTTTTTAATTGACTTTGTTGTTTTTATGAATGAAATGAAATTAAAGTGTGTACAATAATATAAAAAAACATTAAAATGTTAATTTATTGAACAAAACCTGTATTGTAGTATGTCTCACCTGTCCTTGTATCATGGGTCCAGCAATGTAGAAAGTGCAGAGGGTCCTCTTCCACGGTGCTAAAGCACTTCTCCACAGCTGCTAGGAA